AAGCTGCATCACCCCACAGGAGGTGGCAGGGACTGTCTCACTGCTCAGCAGAAAGGGATGTCCCCATTGGAGCTCCTCACTCTTTGCAGGCTGGTGCTGGTGTGTCACTGCCCTGCCGGCCCAGGGTGTGGCCCTGGGGTCCCTGTGCCCTGCAGGACCAGGTCTCTGAGTGTCCCTCCCAGCCCTCGCCCAGCTGTCAGCTCAAGTGTGGGGCTGCTGGTTCTGCTGCTGTGGTGCCCAGTTGCTTCCCCAGCTGCCCCAGCACAGAGACCCGAGCACTGCTCTTTGCCCAGAGCCCAGCAAACGGTGACGGGTGCAAGGAGCAGGTCTGTGGGGAAAACCTGATCCCACACGGGCACTTTCTGACCAGAGCCACGGGAGAGAACACGGGATCAAGGCCGAGCAGGCAGGGACACGGAACCAAACCTGCTGCTCGCAACGCAGCCCTGGCCTCATGTGTTGGCACCAAAGCCCTCCTGCCGGCAGGGCTCGGGAAACGCTCGAGGGGTTTTGCTTTCCTTCGAAAACAGCCCCGGGGGCTGCGGGGGCTCAGCTGGGCAGGCAGGGGCTGGGGCAGAAGGAGCTGCTGGCCCAGGGGACCCGACCTTTCCCGGCCACGGCTCCCGGGTGGCTTCACCGGGCTACTCATTAACTGCTGCCCAGACGGGGGGTGGGGGTTTCTGCAGGGTGGGTGTCGAGTGCCCGTGTGTGCGGGTCACGGCCGCGCCCTCTGTGCCCAGCAGCAGGGTCCCTGCTCACTCCAGGGCTCAGGGCTCCTCCTCATGGCTTCCCGGGGGTGTATCCACGGGGGATGCACCAGCTCCCAGCCCTGCCCAGCGCTGCGCCAAGGGCAGGAGAGGGAGCCTTGGCAGGGTGTCCCCTGTCCCCCCGCCCCCAAAGCCTCCTCCTGCACCCTGGCTGAAGGGGACCCGTGGGCTGGAGGCTTCCAGAAGCAGCTCTGAGCTCCAGCTGGGATGGTTGCACGCCAGCAGTGTCCCTGCCTGGGGGGGGTGGCAGCTCCCTTTCAGCTCACTGTTCACTCTGAAACGTAATGACTGCAGCACCTGCTGCAGTGCCAGTGGGATGCTGGGGAATCTGCAGCACCAGGACACCAGGTGCTGGGTCACCAGGGAGTGCAGGGGGGCTGGTCTCAGCTGGGGCTTCCTGCCCTGTGGCAGGGGCACAGCAGGGCCACGCAGTGGTTTATCCAATATCCACAGGGCACACGTTGCAGTCATGTCCAACCTGGGCTAAACAAAAGAAGGTGACCCCCAACATCCCCCCAAAGTTGGTAAAAGATCAAGGTCTCCCTCTGGCTCCCAGAGGCCTCCACCAGACCTGAGGGAGCTGTGTGGGAGCAGGGGCCGATTTGGGAACCAGGCATCCATCCCCACAGGCTGGGCCACCACAGGTGCTTACAGAGGCAACCAGCAGCCCTTCCCATGAGCCCAAATCCTGGCTCCTGGGAACACCATGGAGCACACATCCAACCACTGCCTCCTCCATGTGTTCATCTGCTTTCTGGTCCCTGTTGCATCCTGGGCAGTAGCTGCATCCCATGGTCCATCCCCACATCAGGCTGGGGACACATGACACTGCCAGGAGGGCATTGGCCTGGCAAAGCACATGAGGAGATGTGTGAAATGGGAAGGGGGGGACACTTCCAGGTGAGAAGATCTTCTGGATGTCTGGCCGCAGGGTCCCCAGCCCCTGGCATGGTCTGGCAGGCTTTAGGAGAGAGAAAAGTCCATATGGAAAGAGGTGCTGTAGGGGACAACCAGCAGAGGGGAAGGTGGCAGTCATGTCCAACCTGGGCTAAACAAAAGAAGGTGACCCCCAACATCCCCCCAAAGTTGGTAAATAAATACATAAATATGAACACAAAGCCCAGAGCTGGGGCACGGGGGAGCTCCCAGGCTTGGCAGCTCCCCCCCACCCCCTCCCCCAAATCCCTTCTTTGCCATTTCCATGTCAAAACACAGTGTCTCCTTCTGTCCACCCCATGCTTGTCCCCACAGCCCAGGCACCATCTGTCCCCAGCCTGTCTCACACTTCTCAGCTCCTGGGGCCAGCAGCAAAGGTGACTTTTGCAGCTGCCTAAAACCCACCCCAGAAGCTGAAGGTGATGGCTGGGCCAAGATGGTCTCCTCTAGGCTAAGAAAATTCATAACTTCTCCAACGTGCAAGGGTAGGTGGACCAAGAACGCCAGTGCAGCAAAACACTGAGTGTCCTTCAAGAGGATTAAAAATAAATAAGTGAAGCTGAGCGTTTTCCTGGGAGTCTGTTCATCTGCAGTTCTGCTGAGGAGGGTGGGGGGAGGGTGATTTAAATAAAGGGACAAGAAACCAAACAACCCCAGGTCCCAGCACTGCTCTGGTGAACGTGCTCCCCTTGCCACCACCTGCCTTCCTCCACCGCTTCCATCCCAGCTGGAGAAGATGCTTGTGGTGGTTGGGAAGGAGCCTCCAAGACCTTCCCAGGACAAATCATCCCTGCTGGGCTTCGTGGAGGGGGGGGGAGGGGGTTTCTCTCCCCACTGCAGAGTAGGGATTTGGGGACACCCCCCTGTCCCCTCCAGCAGGTGGGTGTCCTGGACACCAGGTGCCTCCCTGCACGTTGCTTAGTCTCGAGTTCGGTTTCTCCTCTTCAGGAAAAAGAAGCTGCTCTTCTGGGGGGGGCCCAGCAGCATTGGCACTTGGCTTTTGTGTGTAATTTTGACCTAAAAAGAAGGGAAGAAGCCAGATCAGTAGGGGGTCCTGGGCTCTGAACGCACCCCCCTCCCCCAGGCAGCCCTGAAGCTGGGAACCTCAGGGAGTGACCTGTGCAAGCTGGGAGCAGCTCAGCACCCAGCACTGGGGCAAGGAGCCACTGCTCCCACTGATGGAGTTTTTTTAATGCTTTGCTGCACTGGAGAAACAGCTCTGGAATAACATCCAGGCTGGGCTGGGACAGAGAGAGGACTTCTCCTGCTGGCAAGCTGCTGGTCAGATGGTGGAGGACCCCCAGCTCAACCTCCCCAGGAAGGGATGTTGCCCACACACCCAGCAAGGGAGGGGATTGTCCCTGTCCCCATGGCTCCCACCATGCAGGGCTGGTGTGGGCATGGACATAAGTCACAGGTGGCCAGGCTCTGTGACCACCCACCAGCTTCCTCCCAACTCCAGTCTTTGCCAGGCTGCATGGGGAGCCAAGGCTTCCCAGCCTGCTGCCAGCCCCTGCCTGCCCCGTTCCCAGGACTCACGGTGCAGGATGGCTGCATCCAGGGCTCCCCGTCCACCTGCATAGGCAGCAGCTTGGATGTCCTGCAAGGCACAAAGAGACAGCACCAGGGTGACACAGGTGCCAGCTTTTGCCATCCCTTGGGCCCCTCAGCTGGGAGGGTGACAAGTACCTGATGGTGACGGACGAACACTGGGCCAGTCTCTTCCCAGCACTCTTCAGCCCCGTGTAGATCTGCCCCATCTCCATTGCACCCTCCAGCCCCACCACCTCCAGGAGGTGGTCGCTGAGGTCTGCAAGAGAGAGGGATCTGAGTTGGTCGCCCCCATCCCCAGGGATCCCCTGCCTTCCACTCTCACCTGACATGCTGGGGCCAGCACATGGGGGCTGCTGGTTATTCTGGAGGGCACTGGGGCTGGTGGCACTGTGGGGATGTGTCCCCATGTGCCCTGCACCCAGAGACCATGCTGGGCGTTTGCAGCATTGAGCAACACTGCTGTCCAAAACCTCTGGAGCAAAAATACTCCCGGTCTGAAAGAGTTCCCAGCCCTGCAGGGCTGCAAGGTGACAGCCCAGATCCCCACCGGGGCTTCCACTGCGTGTTTGCAGAGTTGCATGAAATGGGGGCAGGCACCCCACCTCCCCTGGGTGCCCTGGGGCACTGCAGCACCCCAGGAGCCAGGATGCCCAGTGGAATCCTCCCCAGGAAGGATCTGCTCAAATCCCAAGGGCATTGCCCCCTTTGACCAACACTCACCCCATCTCTCATTCCCTTCAGGGTTCTCTTTTACCTTGGTGGGAACCCCCCAAGGAGAAGCCCTGCAAGTGGGTAGACCAACCCAGGAGACCAACCTTGTGGCCTCCACCACCCTTTGGAATGGGCCTTTGCTCTGCCCTTCTCCCTGCTGCCTGTTCCCATGGGCTCATCTGGCAGAGGGACAGCCAGGGACAGCCTGGGGTGGCTGGTGACACCGGGGCCGGTTTTCACCCTCGTGCTGGGCTGCAGGAGGTGGGAAACACAAGCACTTTGATGCTTTCTAATCCACCACTTTCTGCTGGGGAACCCTGCCAGCACTTTGGGCTGCCTGTGCCCACGGGGCTGGCTCCAGAGGCTGCAGCAGCAGCAGGGCTGAGGTGCCAGGCAGGGTGGGGACCCTGCTGTTCCCGAAACCCCACAGCCAGGCTGCCGCTCTGTGGAGGGAGGCTGCTTATAAATGCCAGCAGTGCCAGCTCTGCAGATCTGCTCTTGGCTCCTCCTCTGCAGCAGCAGAGGGTGCCCAGCCCTTCAGTGGCTGCCTGCCAGCCCCGTGGGGTGCTAAGAGCCCCCCAGCCTCTTGCCTGAAGGTGACAGGTCCCATCTGGTCCCCCCTGAGCCGTGACCCTGGAGGCTGTGTGGAGTGGCAGGGTACAGGGAGCCACATCCTCTCTGGCCACCATGGGCACCAGGCCCATGAGAAACATGGTGCTGGGCTGTCCCCAGGTGGGCAGAAGCACCCTCCATCACCACTTTAGACAGACAGTTCCCACCCCAAAAGGCAGTGAGCCAACAGCAACCCCTCCAGTGCTGCTGCTCCAGCGCCCCATGCACTGAGCTGTGGCCAGAACCAGGGCTACCTGGCTCCTCTCTGTGCCAATCCCACTGACACCAGGCAACCCTCCCAAAAAACCCAACACCCCAGGGCCCTGCTGCTCACCCTGCACACAGAACTTGAGCTCCTTGGCATCAGTGACCACAGTGGTGGGCATCTTCTCAGGCACTTTCTTGCCCAGCCGGTTGTAACCGCGCTGCTTCTTGGTCTCGCCCCAGAGGTTGGAGCCACCGTACATGCTGGGGATGTTGAGGACAGCAATGCCCTCCAGGGAGGTGGTGCTCAGGTCCAGCAGGGTCCCATCACACTGGTGGGCACATGGGTAGTGTCAGGGTGGGGGCAGAGGGGGCCCTGGCACCCACACAGCCTGGTCTTTCCCCCCACCTGCCACCGAAGGAGCGGGGTGCCCTGAGCACACGGTGCTGCCAGGAGGTCCCCAGGGTGGTGTGGGTAGTCCCAGGGGGGCTGGAGGTGCAAACACTCCTGGCTTTGCTTTTCCATCACCTTCCCTTCCTTGTGCTGCTTTCCCCTCCATTTCTGGCTGAATTTTACTGCACATCCAAGATGCAGCCTTCCAGTGCCTGAAGGGCCTCCAGGGAAGCTGGAGAGGGACTTTGGAGTGAGAGGACAAGGACGGGGGACAGTTTTAAGCTGCAAAGAGGGTAAATTTATACCAGACATTAGGAATAAATTATTTTCTCTTTCAACTGGCCCAGGTTGCCCAGGGAAGCTGTGGCTGCCCCATCCCTGGCAGTGTTGAAGGGCAGGTTGGATGGGGCTTGGAGCAACCTGGGCTGGTGGGAGGTGTCCCTGCCCATGCAGAAGGTTGGATCTTGATGGTCTTTAAGGTTCCTTCCAACCCAAACCAGTCTGTGATTCTACAGCAGTTTCAAAAAGTGAAGATCCTACAAGAGGGTCTAAAACCTCAGCCAGGCTGGGTATGGCAACCCAAAATAGGATGCAACACCACCTCATTCTTGGAGCAACCTCCACACAAGCATCTCCAGCACATGCTTCCCTACCTCCCCTTATTCCAACTGACCCCAAAGAATCAGAAGATATGGCTGCCCAGAAACTTACTCAAACCACTTTGTCTGCAAGTGCAATTTGGAAATTAGAAATGAGGCTGTAAGGAAGTGGTAGGAAAGGAGTCAGAGGAAAAAAGGTCACTTTTGGAGAGAAAACCACAAGTCAGCAACATAGAAGTGGTATCTCGGGCTTTGCTGTCACACAGTAGGGCTGTCTCAGCTGAAAATTCCCTGGAAAAGGTAAAATATCTGTTGCCTGCAGCTTTTCCTCAGGTCTGGAAGCAGCAGCCATGGAAATGGATTTCTTAACTTTAGGTCTTCTCAGTCTCACACTGCCCAGATGATGCTGGATCCCCTTTCTAGACCCCTCTGAAGGAAGCAGCTGCTTCCCCATCCAAGCTGGACCTTCCTTTACACCTCTACCTGCTGGGCTGCATTTCAGCCAATACTGGCACACGTTTTTCCTTGTCTTTTGGTGATGCAACAACTTTCCTGTCCTCTCTACCTTTGCAGAGGGGAATGTGAAGGGACTGACCAACCCCTGCTGCCACTTTGGCTCCTGTTGTTCTCCTCTTCCAAAGACCTGGAGGTCTCAAGCTTATTTTCAATAGGCTGTGGGTAAGTGCTGAGGACACTGGCTGCAGGTTTGTGCAGCTGGGGACACACACAAGCAATTCTCCCTATATTCAGCTCTGCTCTGTCTCCACTGATGCTCCAAGTTCTTATTTTTAGCCTGGTTTAGGCAGGAATCTTCTGGTTTGGGAGTGAAGAGCTGTCTCTCTGAGCCTTGTAAAAGGATGTCAACTCTTTCATCCTCAATCCATCTTAATGATTTGCAGGAAGAGACCAGACCCTAATGCTCTGAGGAGCTCATCCTGAGGGCTCTGATTCCACATCCCCACACCTCCAGCCAAGCCCAGCATTTCCCTGGACCACGGGCACCTTTCCTGCCTGGGAGATGGTGGGTACCAACCCAGCCACGGCGGGAGGGCAGCAAGTCTGGGCTGTGTGACTCCTGGGGATGCTGTGGGAGCCCAATTCCTGTCCAGGGCTGGGCAGGAGGGGCAGGACCACAGGAACCCACCCCTGCCTGCCCACATAGATCCATGCAGGGAGCATTTTCTCCCTGCACAGCCCACCCCTGTGAGTGTGCCAGGCAGCTACAAAGGGCTCTTTGAGCCGGGGCAGCTGACGCCGCGTTGGCAGCGACGCTGGAAGTTGAAATTTGCAGCTGGGGGGGGGGGGGAAAGAAAAAAGCAAATTCATTTCCAGGAGCTGGAAGGGAAGGAGTGCCAATTTCCAAAACAAAACTGCCATTTCTCTGCGAGGCTGACAGTTGCCTGGGAGCGGGAGGGAGGACAGGCTGCCTGCTTGCACCTTCAGATCCCAGGGGATTAACGCTTTCCTGGCGCGGTGGGAGAAGGGGAGGGCACCTTGTGCCCATCTCCAGCAGCACTGCACCTGGGCTGCTGGTGTGCTGGGGGACAAGGGGTGGAGATGGCTCCTGCCCCTTCCCACCTGCTCCTGAGGACACGGCTTTCGACTTTGGGAAGGGCTGAAACTCCCTGCCTAGAACCAAGCTGTGAATTCTGCCACCAACTCCCTGGCCTCTGGGTGCCCTTGGCCTGCCCAGTGCCCTCCAACCTGGTCAGACCTTCACCAGTGACCATTTTAATCCCCTCACCCTCAAGCCTGACTTTTATTAGCCAGAGATGAGAGGAGGAAGCTTCCAGCAAAGCCCCAGCCTGAGCCCCCCAGCACGAGGGGAGAAAGGGCAGCACCCTTAGCAGCCACAGGCCCCCCTCCCTGCCCTAATTAAAAGCTGTTTCCATGTTACCCAACGAGGGTTGGGAGCAGACCCAGAGTTTACAGAGCGAATATTCCAGGCATGCTCTGGAATACAGCTGGAAAGGAGGGGAAAATACAGGGCTATTCTTCAGCTCACAGCTGGCTGGCTTTGCAGCAGTGGGAGGGGGGTCCTGCCAGCCACCGCATCCTCCTTCTGCTCTGAGGGGTCCAAGCTGCTGCAGCACCTTCTCCCTGAACAGCCAAAGCTCTGCCTGAGGCACCCACGGGTGACATCTCCCCAAAGGCCTTTGTGCCATGGTGGAAGTCAGGGAGCATCCCAGGGAAACCCACCTCCACCTCGACGTAGTCGTGGAGCTTCTTGCAAGTGGCTGCAAAGGTCTCTGATGTCCCAAATTCAAAGTACCAGAGCTTGTTCTTCATCCTGGGGGACAGAGGGGACTCAGAAGCAGTGTCTAACCCCAGTCACGAGCAGGATGGGCTACCAGAGCCTTTCTGGAGCTGTTGTGATGGGACACGAGCCACTGATGGGGACAGAAGCCATCCCAGGGAGGGACTGGCAGCCCCAGGGAGCCAGGCTGTGGGACAGGGGGTGGCTCAGGTGGACCTGGCTCTGACACCCCACAGCAGGGGAGGAGCAGGGTGCTGGGTGCTCTCCTGGCATGGGACAGGGTGCCTCCACTGGCTCTCAGCTGGGCTGTCATCTCTGGACAGGGCTGCCAGGGATGAGGAACCCCATGGAGATGTGCCACACTGACACCCCTGGCTCCTCCCTGGCATCACCTGCCGTGCTGGGCTTCGGGGGAGGGAGCTGTAAGCCCAGGGGGGCTGAAATCTCAGAGCAGAGGTGGTTGTTTTGGTCCATTTGGGGTTTTTCTAGCAGGTACTTCTCCACATGGGGGCTGGGGGGTGCAGGCCATGGCTCCTGCTGCTGTCAAAGCCATTTCCCTGCACCCGGAGCCCAGGAGGAGGAGTGAGCTGCTCCCTGCCCTCACTGCCCACCCCAGCCCTTACCTGCTGTTGAACTTCTCAGGGTGCTTTTCTCTCATGACATGGAAGCGGTGGGCGATGGAGGCATCCTGCAGGGGGAGGGGCAGAGAGGGCTCAGAGGGGCAGCAGGGACATGGACACCTCACTCTGAAGCTGTCACCAAATGCCACCTGCAGTGGCTTCCCTTGGCATCAGCAGGGATGAGATGAGGAGCACCCCACAACTCCTGGGTGGCTGACCCATGCTGTGCT